AAGATTAAATTTTAAATGTGTAAAAATTTTTTATATGTTTTTATAGATTTTGACAAATAAAATTTAGAAATAAGAATCTTAATTGTCAGAATTAATGATGCAAAAATTATTTGTACATTTCGTATTTTTAGGGATTTTTGCAAGTTACGTGTGGATTCTTATCCAATCCGCTTGAAGAAACCAAATTCAAATTATTTTTTAAATAAAAAAAACTTATTATAATATATTTACAACTATTTATTAAAAAATATATTATTATAAATATTCGCATAAATAATAATATGAAAAATTATCATTGTGATATGTTCTCTTTCTATACCTATGTGATTTTTAAAATTTTTAAATTTTTGTGTTTGTTTAAAAGTCTAAGATTTAGACAAAATTAATAATGATATGCTTCATATTACTTTTGCATTAAATATAATTTCAACAAAATGGAATATAAATATTAATTTTTTGAAAAGAATTAGTCGAGATATATATAATATTTTGAATTAGTATTTACTTTCTGAATGGGATATTTTTCTACCACATAAATGGTCATAATATTATATTGTTTCCGAGATAATCGAATTACAGCTCCACAATAAGTTCTAAGAGTAAAATAATATCCAAATTCTAAAGCTACAAAAATAGAAAATCCTAAAAAAAGACCTGCAATACCACCGAATGATACAAGTAAATCTAAATAACCAAATCGCATTTCTCTTTTATGGAGAGCTGTTGGCCAGTTTTTTAACATAATTTGATTTTTATTTTTACCTGTTTTCATACTTTTTACACTATATGATGTATGGTCACAAAAGGGCCAACAATTACATTGGGTTTTATCGATATTAATATTGTTTAAACAAGGATATTTTGAAATTGGACATTCTGTCTTATCGACATGTGATAAAAACCATGGCAAACATTTACAATATTTAAATAGTTTATCGGTTATGCAATCAATTTCGCAATCAATAAGATTTTTACTCTCTTGCTTATAATAACATTGTCGTTGTCGAAGAGATAAATATTTAATATCAGAAGTTGTATATGTTATATCAACAACAAATTCTATATCTACAGATTTATCTACTATAAGAGATCTTTCACCTGGTTCTGGACTCGAATTATTTTGTTCCATGAGATAAAATCTACAATATGAAAAATGAATAATAACATATAATAATTATATTAACATTTTTTATATTCTATTTTATACATTATATAATTTTTTAAATATAATCAATAGCATTTATGATAAAAAAATTATTTATAAAAATTAGATTTTGATGTAAAAAAATTATTGATTTGAATTAGTTGAATTATCGATTGAATTAGTAAATATTACCTTAAAGGAAAACTTGAATTAGGGATTTTAAATTCAAGATTCCATTTAATATCTATATATTTAAGTGACTCTAAATTTTTAGATTTACAACATATACCCACTGCAGTCAATACTTTCATAAATATATTTTTACACGATCTATTCATTCCTCTAAAAAACAATATAATTTATAATTTAATCAAATATAAATGAATTTTTTTATAATTATAATAATAATTATTTCTTTTTTCTAAATAATTTTTTCTTATTTTAAAATATTAAACTTTGAGTAATTATAAATATATATATAATATACGTATATAATGTATATAAAGATAATATTTTTAATTTCATAAATGAAATAAAAAAATTATGTACATATGTATTTATCATATTTACCTGTATGCACAGTTAGTAAATAAAGAATCACAATCAAGTTCCATCGCTTTAAAAATTTTTCGAAAATTGTTTTTATTTTTATAAATTGGATTAAATGATTTCACATCAATATATTTTCCAATATTCCAATTGTATAATTCCTCGTATACATACATTTCATTCTATATATATGTATATATACATATAAATATAATGATACAAATATAATATTAAAATATATTCAAATAAAATAAAATTATATTTAAAAATGCGTTTACCTCAAGTATATGCGAATGATTCAAATGAATCCAGTCGAAGCAAATAAAGATTTGAGGAAATTCGATATTAATGTGCTCTGTTAATACATCTACTCCGGTTATTGTTGGTTGCGTTTGAAATTTGTTCAAGATAATTACGATTGTAATAAAAGTTGCTATTATTGATGTCATTGATAAAAATAACCATATTAATCTGCGGACATACCAATTATATATATATAATAATAAGTAATATTAATATGGCAAATTGACAATTTTTGAATCATAATTTTTAAAATTTGAATTTCATCATATTTTTCGATTTTTTAATAAATAAATAAATAATTTGTAAAATGAAATATAATATATATATATAATATGTTAACTAAGATTAATTTATTGTTAATTAATGTTGCATTATTTAATTTGTATATTAATTAAATCATGATATTACCTTTCCCATTTAGGTCGTGCAGTATCCACGAAATATGGAATGCCATGTAAACTATTCTGCAACAAATATTCTCTTGATCTATATTTCAAACTATTACGTAATTCTTTTAAAGATACATTATACTTATATTTCATTTTGGATCAGTTATAACTATCTTTATAGTTATACTAATACTAAGTAGAATAAGGAAATCTAATTGATCCCTTTCTCGAATTGCATGTCAAGTTTGAGCATGTATTATGCATGTTGTGCACATAACACGATTAATTTATCAGCTTTATCAACTAAATAGAGAAAAATATGATTTTAAATTAATATATTATAAAGTATAATAGCAAAACTCTATAAATATTCGTAATATAATAAAGCATTTTATTTAATTATTTAATTTCAATTATTTAATATATTTAGTACTATATTTTATTTTTAAATAAATAAATAACAAAGATATCATAGATTTATTTCAGTACACAGATTATTTCACATTTTCCTTGCAATTAGCAGAATATTATCATTTTGAAAAAATAACAGAAATATCTTTTTTAATCGAAAAATAAAAAAATATGTTACATTTTCCATTTAAAAAAAAACAAAATAAAATAATATTTATTGTTTTTTCTTTTTAAGCTGAAAAACGAATGTCTACAGGAAACTATCGATAACTATTGGTTTATTCGAAGTATTGTCTTTCGAATATACGTTTTTCCAGTTGTATCTCGTCATTTAAGAATCGGCCATCGTACGTGAAAACACAAACATTCCTCATCTTCGTGTCAGCTTCTTTATTATTTTAGACCACCCCCTCTTACGACCACCATCTGCATGCATACCGACGCTGTTCCGGTGCTCAAGGAAAATCGGCGATCAGCAACTTAAGCGGGTGTAAACTACCCTCTTGATGTCTTCCTTGGATCCAATTTCATTTAAAAACTTCCCATATTTCGGAACGTAATGGGAAAAGTTATCGCTTTTCATCGTCAATATTGGAATATTGTTTTCCTAACCTAAAAGACATATTTTGTCCATTAAATATATTAATCGAAATTTCGTAAACTTCGAAAAGAAATATCATATAGAAAAATTTAAACAGTGAAATCTTTATCTTCTTTCTGAGTTATTTAAATTTTTTTGAATGAAAAGAATAACAGGAGGACAACATCTCTTTCTCTTTTTAATCGAAATTATACACATCGAAATAATAAAAAGCTCATCTAGAAGTAGAGCAAAAGGAAGAAAAAAAGAAGAGGAAGAAAAATGTAAAAAAATTCGCTTTGTTCAGGAAGACGTTTGACGCACGGGCGAGAAAATACTTCGGAGAAAAAAGAAGCGGCGCTATTCTTGCGTCCAGGTGTGAGCCTGTAACGCCAGTGTAAATATACAACACTTACGCCATTCCAAAGGAGCCTCTTCGAAAACTATTAACGTATTCCTCTTGTGTTGCGGCTTCACCGACCATTTTTCCGTTCTGGCCCATTTCTCTTCCCATTGGACCGTTTCGGCACATTAAGTGGCACGTGTTAGAGAACTTAATCAGGTGGACCACCGTTGTCAAACACCCACCGACACCGATCATCGTTCACGTTTGTCCAAAGATTTCAAGTGTCATTTCGAAAGCACTCGTGATTTCGAATTTGAGAATGACTTTCTGTATTGTCAAGTGTAACTAAGCGTGTGATCTATGAACATTAGGATGCATAAATATACATAAATTGATTCTTCTGAATGTCCTAAATAAATATTATAATAGTGTTGAAAAAAAATGGCGAATTTCGTTTAATCCTTAAATGAAGTGATATAAATTTTAGAAAAATCGAATAACATTTGGATCTTTACGTAGATATTCGAAAGGTAAGTAGATACAATTGTACTTTTAGAGATAGAAAAAAATTATTAAACAGAATAGAAAATTTTCCTTCACAATTATTACCAATGTAATTACAATCCGATTATTATACATATTCTTCATACAAATACGTAAATTGTCCTCGATTTTCAATGGATGTAAGCTCAATGTTATGATAGAAATTTATCATCATAAGATTTGTGACTTTATTATTATAATAGATAATGTTTCACTAATTTTATTTATGTGTGATATATGACTGTTATGTCGATGAACTTTTCTTAATTGGTGACTTTTCGTAATTGATCTGCTTCTTGTTCAAATTGATTAGATTTCAAAACTTTTCATATACTTAATGCTCAACATTAATGCTCATCGTTCAAACTGAAATGGAATCGGATTACTGCGCGTCAAGAATACGATAGTAATAAACGATCAAACTAATAAACTAATATATATAATTTATTAAACAAACAATTTCTGGAATACTTTTATAATATATTTAATTTTATGAAACATCATGTTTACAACGAATTTTGTCTATGATGAAAATAAAAAAAATCAATGTTTTTCTTAAATTATTTCAATTGTTAAACATTTAACGATAACAATAATAAAACAAATTACGAATTTTTAAATAATTAATTCGTCAAGACGAATAATTTACATATTCACGTATCGTCTAATTTCATCGTAATGAAGATATTTGATATTTCAATATGACGTTAATAAACATAACATGATTTTCATTCCCATGATTTACGTAACGCGTTTAAAGAAGCAAAACAACGATTCGAAAAGCTAATTTTTACATTACATCCGATTAATCGAGATTACACACATATACGAGAGATGAAAGATGGTGTAGTGGTGGTGATCCGTTTATCGCGATCAGAAGCTGAAAAGTCAAGTTATTCACGAACAGAGTGGTAGAGTGGGGTAAGTGGCGCCCAGTTGGACACCAGTGTATCAAACTGATCGCGATATACACTGGTTAATTATTAGTGGCGCAAAATGCAAGCCATGTCTTTACGAATAACTCTCCGACAGATTTGATCTTCGTGTTTTTTTTTTTTTTTTTTTTTTTTTTTTTTTTTTTTATTTCTTTACTTAAGTTTCCTTCGAGATCTCATCTTTAATAATTCTGATAGTGATTGATAGCCTCGTTGTAACGCGAATCCTTTGGAGAGGTTCATTAAATATCCACGCATACTTGATCAGGCCATCCAGGGATTGGACAATATTTATTTGAAACGGATGTTTCAAGAGATAGAATGAACGAATTATATTTCATTGTAATAAACGATTATAAATTATCTCTCATGATATGTATTATTCATTTATATATTGTAATTTATGAAATATTTAAAGATGAAAATGTTTGCAAATAAATATCAAAATTTTATTTGAAAGCCAGTTTTGAATCAAAATATATTTAAGAATTTTAATTTTATACATATTTTTGTAGAATTTTTGTCAATGAGTAAATATGAATCTTTGCACTCAAATATTACTCTGATCTGCAAGTTCATATCTGAGTTTTGAATCATAATAAATTATAACATTGCATAGTTGCGTTAATAATTTATTTTTTATACAAATTAAAAGTTAAAAAACTTAAAAACTTGTAGAAATTAAAAAGAAATTTTTAATCAAACTATTAAGAATTACACATCACATTTGTTTAATTCTCAAAATAAAATACATTTTTAATAATAATAACAATTATTAACAATTGACTAAAAGCATTAATATATTCATCAAAGTGTACCCAGAAAGTGACCACATAAACCCTCAAAGAAATTTCCTACGATCAAATCGATCACGACACACGAAAAAAATTAAGTTTATTCGATTAAAAGGAAATTTCATCCATGCCTAATAATATCGTGGCCCAAGGGTGGAGTCACGTAAGTTGGCACGTGTCAGAGATTAAAAGGCGCAACAAGAGGCCTCTACCCTTAAGTCGGCCGAAAAACCGACGAGATTACGAGGAACCACACCGCTTCTGCCTCTCCCCGATAGCGTAGGTCGAGCCACGACGATGATGAACTACGGCTCGTCCCTCCTCGCGTAAATCCTTGCTCGGTCTAAAATCCATGTGGGTGCCGTGAACACGCTTCGATCGTGCCTGTATGAGTGACCGAGTTCCCTTGTGTTGCACGCCAATACGAGCGAGTTCTCGAAGGCGGTCTTTAGTCGGTCTTTAGTTTCGAATAAGCATTCGTCGAAGATAGAGGACCCCTCCTCGATTTATCCTTTAACCGGCGGGTTTCCTCTTCCGGCTTAACTCTTCGATCCTTGTCCCTCGATCCTTGGCCCCAAAAGTTTCCAGCTTTAATCCCGCTGGACCTTGTACGGTGTTTCGAATAAAAATGAATTTATCCTCGAGTCGACTTTTTAATTTTTAATTTTTGGAATTTTGATAATTTGAAATTTGGAAGAATACCAAAATTTTAGTAATTATAGAATTTTGGAAAAAAGAGAAAAATCTTCCACAAAATTTGCATTGCTCGGTGAACCATCCGGTTAAAGAAAAAAAACAAAAAAAAAAAGAAGCAATTCGAAATTTAAAAAAAAAATTGCTTCGAATTTTTCGGTTATCGAGAATTTTGAAAAAAAAAAGGAGTATTCTTTTTTTGTGAAATTTTGAAACGAAATTCGTGTCGTTTATTCCAGAGGAATCGTTTAGAGGATTTTGAAAAAAAAAAAAAAAAAAGAACTTGTTTCGGATTACCAAATTGTGAAAAATATAAATTGAAGCTGTTTAATTAGAGGGATGCAGACACAAAGAAGGTGACTGTTCGATTGGTTTGATCGATTCTCGAAGGAACTCATGAAAAACCTACTCCTTGTGTGGTCCAATCAGTGCGAACAATTGATTTGCAAATATTACTGTGTTATCTATCTATGTGATCACTTTTTTTTACAATGTAAACCAATGACGCGTCGAATTCTGAGCGTCAGACTCGTTGACTCTCAAAAGTTTAGAGTGTAACGATGGATCAAAGCCAAGGAAAAAGTGAAGGTCTTAGTGCGAAACGATAGTTCTTTTTTTTTTTTTTTTTTTTAAACGGGGGTGATTTCCTTCCATTTTGGTCCCAGAATGGAGAGGAGAAGAATGCCAAGGAGAAGAGGCCTTTCCTCCGCGGAAATTCGACAAGGTGAGTAAATATATTTTTATTCAAAAAGCATTGTCAACCCTTCTATAAATTTTTATACTCCTAAATGTAACGCAAATTAAAATCTCTTATTTTGATATATTTGCTTTGAACATATATTTATTTACATTTATTTTGAATATTAAGAATTAATAATTGAATAAGAAAAAATCGACACGAAGAATGCAATTTTAAAACTTAAAATTCTTGGAATTATGCATTGAGACCAAGAATAAGATAAAAAAAGAAATAATCTGATAATTCAAATTTATTCTTCATTTGAACCCACAATTTTCTCTTGTGTATATCAAGTTCAAATTTTTACAATTTTTTGAGCGAACAAAATTTTATCAATGTTTCTTTGTTGCTGTTAAAAAAAATCGTTATGCGTAATAATGATCCCTTGATATTTTTATTCAAGAAGAAATTCTGAGAATTAACGTTTCAACCCACTTGGAATCCACTTTAAAATGAAAAATTTATAAATCAAATCAGTGAGAAATCTCGTTAACGTTGCGTGACATTTTATTTACTAAAATTTTCAAGATAAAAACTACGTTAACGAGAATATAATAAATTATATTAAATATTGTAAGACGATAGAATAACAATATTTGCATTACAAAATTGTTATAAATATATATGTAATCGTATCATACATAGTTGTTGATTAGACAAAAAAAAAAAGGAAAAAGAGATAAATTCTTCATAAATATTACGAAAAAGAATAATTTCTCTATTAGGATAGATTAAAAAAAAAAAAAAAACTCGGTTCTTCTCTTGATGCGTCGCAGCTTTGAAGCGTAATTTATATTTTCTTAGAACATAGAAATAAACTGCGATTAAACTGCAATCAAAATATACATTCAGAGATAAGCTGTTTATTATTATTTATTAATATTTCTGGAATAATTAAGAGAAAAAATTTCTAGAATTAATATTTGAGAAATTTAGTAAAAAAAAAAAAAAAAATTGTTAAATGTTGAACACGTTACAATTTTTGTAAGTAATTTGTAATTAAATCTTTATTCATACATATAAATTGAATTATATTTATAATATACGTATATGTCTTACCATTATACAATAATTATAGTCATTTATCCGATCGACAAACAGGCACGCGTTGTGTTTCGTTTTGTTAAAAAAAAAAATCACGAAAAATATATGACAGTTAAAGATGAAACACATATTCATCCAATATGGAAATATACATATAACGATAAACCAGCCAATAAATTTGATATAAATTAAATAATAAATTAAATGCATTAGAAATTCCTCGTATGATTCATGGTTAATCAATATTTGCTTTAATAAATAAAGGAAAATTAGGAAAAGTAAACAGTAAGAAACGATTTTTCGAGTAAATGATAATTTTTCTTTGATCTTTCTAATCTTTTTTTTTTTTTTTTATCATCTTTTCTTATCATTTATCGTGCATTGCAATCATTCTTTTGTGAATATTTATAATTTTCTTCTTTAAAGAAGAAACAAAAACTTGAAAATAAAGAAGTGATAATGTTCGCCATTTTCCTTTTTTAATTTGGATTATCTCTTTTTGACATTTTATCACCGTAATAATTCTTCTTTATTGTATTTATAATTTTCTAGAAAAATAACCTTTTCATTGCTTTTTATATTTTTCTTTTTTTTGTCATTATATTATTTAAATTATTATTAACGTGTAATCTTTTTTACAAAAATTATGTAAAAGTAACAACAGTTATCTTTATAATTATATACTAAATATATATAGATATATTTCAACAGATTCAAAGTTCAATTCATTTATTTCCCGCCAATCTAATATAATCGTATCTTCTAGAGATAAACTCATGTGCTACAGACAAGCACAAAGGCACCAATTTGAATACTACAGATAATTATTACCAAGGAAGAAGAATCTCTTTGGTTAATTTTCACGTGTTAATTTCACTAAATTCTATCTTGGACAACCTTGAAATTTTGAAACATTAAGCTTGTCATGAAAAATAAAACATTAATAATAACATTAAAATTGTTTTAATCTATTGTGCAATATTTCTATTTATTGTATATATTTCTTTTGTTTATTTTTATTTAATAATTCTTATATTTTTAGATTAACTTGATTTAAATATTTAATCGAAAAATTTATTATAATAATAAAAAATTAAAAAGTATTTTATTTTCCATCTTGATTTCAAAACATATGGAGAAATTTCTTTAGAGATAATACTATAAACAAGTTAAAAACTAAAATTCAAGTACGAGTCAAAATGTTGAAAAGATAAAGCTATTTTACTCGTATCTATATTAAAATAAATATTAACTGCTCTTAAAATATCGAAAAACTGAGTATAAAAAAATTAACCCTATTTTTCTGACTCTAACTTATCTTTAATATCGACATGTTCGACCTTCTGATAACGCTAACCTAAAAGATGATAACCACGTGCGCAGTATTCAAATTTTCCAATAACATTGAAAAAACTTCTTTATGATTAATGATTATACAAAATTTAAAAAATATTTAATTCAATTCACTATAAGTCAAAGCCAATTTTTATTAAAATAAAGTATTATAAAGTTCAATGATTGTTATATATACTGAGAAAAATAAATTATATTAATTATATTATTTTATAGTTTATATTATGAATAAAAATAGTCTTTTTTTATGCAAAATATAGTAAGATTTTATTATTATATTATTAAATTAAAATTCATTATCTATTGGATTAAAAACTATTACTTATGAAATTAATTAAATTTTCTTATTTTCAAAATCTCTTATTCTATATTTAAAATAATTTTAAATATATATAATGATTAAAATTATAAAAAAAAATTTTTAGAACTTTATGCTATTTTCTGTTTTGAAAACAATGGTGGCTGATTTAAAGAGGATTTCAGATAGAAACGAAATACAATATCTATCGTATTATACATAATATAAATTTAGAAGAATACATTATCCAAGCAGTAGATCCATTGTTTGCTTAGTATTATAGCAAACAAGCAATGTAATGATGACACATCAACGAAAAAGAAAGCGGGTTGCTCATCGTTATGTTAATCCCCTGAATGTCGTAATTCTCTTTCCTACCCTATTATATTTCTAAAATTTCGCACGAATATGCAATTTAATAACTTAATAAAATTTTCACTAAAAAAATTGTAGATACAATAAAAATTTAAAAAAAAAAATTTTACGTAAATATCATTAATATTAAAATATTCCAAAACTCATACATTTATGATAATTTGAATAAAATTTATTTATAATAAATCAATCATTCAACACAAATGATTTTGATCAAAACTTTGATTTTGTTCAAAATTATTCAAATTTTGTTTTCTCAATAACAAAATATAAATATATTAATATATAAAGAACAAAAAAAATATGTTTAGAATTATCATTTTAAAAAATGTTTCAAATTTAAATTTATATTATTTATTTGTTTATAATATTAATTTTTTAAATGTATTTGTAAAAAATGTTTTTATCTCTTTTATTTATTTTAATCTTATATCAAAGAATAATAAAATTAAAAATAAATTCAATTTACTTTCCAATTCAATTTGTTTCTATAATTTAAGAAAATTTGATAAAACTATTCTCCCAACATATCGTGAATAATCTCGTTTTATGATGGACGATTCAGTTGCGAATCGTTTGGGAGGATAAACCACCCGCGCATATAATGCCCCTATTGTAGTCTCTGGTCTAAACTTCGGATTTGCAAATAAACGTAACTCGATGTGTATATCCACGTTGAATGCTTTTCAGTTTCCAAAAATGATGAATAATGAAAATTGCAATAATAGATTTTTAACAAATCACATTACGTTTTAAATTGAACAATTCTATATTTTAAATTCAAATTAGGATTTCATAACAAAAACAGATTTTATTAATTTTTTATGTGCAATTTCTATAAATGCTATTTATAATTATATCACAAAAGAATTATAAAATTTTATTAAAATTTTAAATTGTGAATCATCATGATTGAAATTGAATACAGATCATTTTGAGTATATCAAGCATGAAATGTAATTTATCAATTTTTTATATATCAAAAATATATAAATTTATATTTAATTAAATGAGACTTGAAATTAAATTTAGAGAGAAAGAATTGTTAATTGTTTAAGAGAAATGAAACTTGATATAAAAATCGTTGTAAGGGTGATTCTCTCACTTTGCGTCAAAGTACGCTCGATATCATAGGTCACGGTTCACCCATCGACTTCCACGTATACTGTTAATAACAAAGTGCAAAGATTACGAATGATCTAGGTAACAATGTTGAAAAAAATATAAATTTAATTAAATAAAAATATAAGTAATAAAAATATTCGTTTGAAGATTTCGAACTTGGAAATACTAGATTTACAATTAGTATATATACTTCCGCGTGTTTGTTTGATAAACAATCCCATTTCGTGGAATTGCAATTACTGGAATGTTCATTGTCAGTTGTGTTATTTCTAATCTATATTATTCTCATTGTTGAACTTCCATTAAATTTTTCTCTCGAAAATCTTACGATTAATTTTACAAGTATTACTATAATATCATTTTTTTAATTAAATTATATGTTCTCTAACTTTTTCAATAATTACATTAATTAATATTATTAAAATTACCTATAATGTATTTCATCTCCAAAAAATTAATGTAAAAAATTCAAAAATAAAATATAAATATATATTTTATATAAATTTATATAATTTATATAATTGATCAATATTTATGTAATTTATATAACATTTTTAAATAAAGAATTTGAAAAAATTTCATACTGTATGCAAACAAGTTATTTCAAAAAATGTCCCTAGATTTCTTGTATATAGAGACTAGTTGTATAATTATACTGCGCATGAGCAATTCCATCCGTATCGAAGATCCGGAGGTCAACTTTCATATAACATCTTTTAGGGTATGAATACATTTGAAAATATTATATTATTCTCTCGAAAATATTTTTATAAATTCACGTTAATTACATTGAAAGTTATTATCTAAGAATAAATTTTATTCTTAATGTGAACAGTATCCACTATCGATAACTTTCAAGATCAAGTTGAGTTTTACTTTCAATTTTAAGTATCCTTAGGTTTGATTTATTGAGTTTTCTTAAATGAATTGTCATCTTCTCAAGAAAATTAAAACTTAGGAACATTTACTAGAAATCGAGCGATCTCGTGAATACGGGCAATCTTCGTTTAAGATGCATAGTAAGAGAAGAAATACGGGGCGATAATAGGTACACATAGCGAGACTCGTTGTCGGAGAGCGCTGACCGCAGAGATAACGCTTTGACCCGTTACAAGCTTCAAGCACGAAATGAATGCCTTCACTGTCTCATCCAAGTCGGGCCCAATCCAAATATGTAGCCCTTTTTCTTACCAGCTCGCCCTTTATTAACCGTTACCACTGTTATGCCTAAGTTCCTAACCTAAATTCGACTGCTTTTACCTTAAGCCTCTATTTACTTTGAAACGAAATGAGTTCACGGACTCTTGGGATCCTTTATATCATTTCTTGGAAGATCTATAATTTATTTTAAACGAGATTCATATCAATTTGAAATTAACGTGAAATGATGAAATAGAATTAATGGTACAATATTTTCCAGACTAGGAGAAATCCAGTTGGACTGAATATCTGAATAAAATTGGGACCTATTATTACATCTAAAGCGGTTAGACATTTCTTGATATGGTTGTAACCGAATGTCGTCATTATTCAGATAATATATCATCATTATTACTTCCTTATTACAGACCTACGAGAACCACAGAACCATAAAACTATACGATTAAGAAGATTAGAAAATTATTGAAACTATTCTGTTCCACTATCAACCACTAAAGATATATATATGTTGGATAATGAAAATAATGAAATTGAATTGTATTTTTGTTATAATATTTCTTTGAAATACCACTGAATATTGTATACAAACAACTTGTGTTTATATTTAACATGAAAAATGCAATTTTTGTTTGTAGAGTATTTGAGCTTAAAATATATCTTTCTCTTTTCAAGTTCTATAGTACATTCCAATCCATGAATATTTCATCCAACATTTGTATTTGTATTTATAAACTCAATAGACATAGTCATTGTAAACTGACATAGTTGCGATAACATATAAATATTGTTTCAGAATTATCAGTAAATGCGTCCACACAACAATCGGAAGTAATAGCGAGGTTACTGCCTATCAATGGGAACCCCGAGATCACAGGATGCAAAGATCGACCTCATATTTGTGGAAAAGAAGCGGCATGTCGTAGCTTTAAAGACAACACATCCAAATGCGTCTGTCCGCACGATCTATCCCCACCAACAACGGATTTGAAATGTCCAAATCGTCTAATAGGTTAGAATCACATATCGATATTTTTTTTATGTCGGACGCCAGAGATAAAACCAGAGCGATCTAGGGATCACTAGATTTTGAACTACATATTTTTTCATAATGCTTTAGCACATATTATTATTTATTATTTTACAAATTAAATTTAAATACTATATATTATATCTTCCTATAAAATAATCTTATAGAACAAGAATCACTAAGTTTTTATTAAATTATATTTTTGAACAAAAAATTACTATACTAAAAATTACTTCTTTATCCGATATTATTTTATATCAATTAATAATATAGATATAATATAAACATAATTAAAGACATTAAAACATTGAACTTAATTAATTTATATCACAATTAATGTGAAATAAATTTTAATTTCAATTAAAGATAATAAATAAATAATATTGATAATTAAAATTGATAAATGTTTTACTATTAATCTTAAAAGAAAGAAAATAATTTTTTTACAAATATTTGTTAAGTATTATTTTTTTTTTTAGTTCCCCTAACACCTCGACCTATACCCAACATAATCCCTCCAAATGGTAACTCTACCAACAGTACGACTGCTCTTCCAGAAGCAGAACAGGTAATTATTATCAATTGTTCTTATAAATATCATCTCTTGATTTATAAATATGCATACAATCTTTTACAAACATAGTTTTGTAGTATTTTCATACTGTTCAACAGGCAGAGCGTGTGAGACAAAAGGTACCTGAAATAATAGGAATCACCATAGCATTCGTCGCGGTATTAGCAATATTGTTGAGTATAGTCTACTGCGTGAAGAAAAGAAGTTATAACGTGAAATCACAGAGGAATTCTCTGGATGTATGTCAATCAAATACATAATATTGAAGTGTTTCTTCAAAACTAACGTAACATTAAAAAAAAAGAAAAAAAAAAATTGTTATTTATAACTCATTTACAAGATAACTTTAGATAAACGGAATAATAACTTTAGTCGATTAATGTAATATTATATTTTTGAATACAATAAATACAATGGTATTGAATACAATAACATTTTTGAGTATATTAATATATTTCCTGGAAAGTCATATTTTTTTTTTCCAGTACGAAAGTGAATTTTATAATTTATCTATATTTTGTTGATAGATGATAATAATTTTTTAATATTTATTTTTTTCTTTTTTTATATTTAAAATATTTCAAATATTTTTGAATTTAAATATATATTAAAACATTTTTAATAATATATAAAAATATAAAAGAAATATCTATTAATTAATATAATATAATTTTGTTTTATTAAATACAATCTTTAATAACATATAAATGAATCAATCTATTAAAATTGAATAATTAAAACTGATATTTTTTATTTTATTATTTTTATTATATTAAACTCTAGAAATAGGCAAAAAAGTTTATATTTTATTTTTTTATTATAATTTCTTCTGCATATAGTTGTATTTATTGTGAATAATAACATCAAAATAATTATATGTATAATTCATACATACACATATACAGTTTGAATTAAAAATCTAATAAAATATATAATTTTATTTCATCTTTCAAATCTCTATCTATTGTATAAAACTATGTTAATTTTAACTTCTTTCTTATTAAATCTACATGTACTGTCAATAATAAAAAAATAATTAAATAATTGAAAAATTGTTATGAAAATAGCTTGCATATGTTCACTTCAGGGAACACCGATGAATCTGAAAAAGGGATTGCTGCTAGCGAATAAGTACACACCTAACCCACAGTATTTCAGTTGCGCCTCGCCGGAAGTGTCGATTCTGCAACGTGAGTCTCTTGCATTTTTGCAAGAAATCGGCGAGGGCTGTTTTGGAAAAGTATATAAAGGTATAAACCAAATTAAATAGTTAAAAACTAGTGATTTTTATATAAGTCATCAAATAATTTTCTTTTAGAAGCTTGAAAAATTTATTTAAAAATTTATTTCAAATTATTATAAAAATTCGTAAAAAATTAAATTAATAACAACAATAAAAAAAAATAACAAATAAAAAAAATAAACAATTTAATTAGTAGATATTAATATATCCATTATATTCTTTTTATTCAATATTGAATGATCACTTATTCTGTTTAAATCTTTCAAATAATAAAATATTTAAAAATGAAAGAATCATAAATTAATATAGATCAATAATTTTTAATTGAAAAGGCAAAAATAAAATTTAAATAATTAAATATTATTTAATTAAAAGTAAGCTTTCAGAATGAAATTACTTGTGAAATAAACCAGTATAATAAAAAGATTGAAATGATAATTGAAAGAAATAATTCTTTTTTTTTTTACAGGAGAATTATGTATTGGAGATTCGAAAGAGATCGTCGCTATAAAAGTTTTGAAAGAGACTGCACCGCGAGAAGCTGAAGAAGATTTTATGCGAGAAGTCGACATCATGTCCACTTTTGGGCATAGAAATATTTTGTCGTTGAAAGGTGCAGTGCTCCGTGAAGGTAATAGTAGTCCATGGATGGTTTTCGAATACATGCCGTATGGAGATCTCGCTGAAGTTTTACGATCGAACTCTCGACAATTTAATAGATCGCCGAAACCTGAGATGCAACCTTTAACTGAGGTAAAAAATTATTTAAATTCTTCTATCTTCTAAAATTGTATGCAAGTATTTCAAACTTTTAAACTAGGAAATTTTTTATTGAAAATATTCAAACTCATATAAACAACATTCTAATAATTTGTCATTTGTTTCCCCTAAAAAGGAATGTATTTGGAAATAAAATTTTTGAAATATATTTTAGACAGATACTGCTAGTATCAGAGAATCACTTTCAACTATTATGAAAAATATTCTGAAGAACAATTTGCAAGAATTTTATTCTGAAATGGATTTTTTTTTCCTTTAAAATTTTTGAGAATTGCTTTTAAAAATATTTTTTCAGAAAGAGAGTGACTTTCATTCTGAAAAGAAATTTTTTTAAAAAGATTATGAACGATTGACTGATATTATAATCTTAATTATGTTTCAGGAGTCTTTACATTGGATAACAATCCAAATTGCAGCTGGTATGACGTATTTATCGGGTCAAAGATTCGTTCATAGAGATTTGGCATGCAGAAATTGTCTAGTTGGTTATGATTTCATTGTTAAAATAGCAGATTTTGGAATGTCACGAGATGTTTATACTTGCGATTACTATAAGGTAATGGATTAACTTACATAATAAATTAAAATATTTTAACAGAATATTCATGTGTATATTATATTGAATTTCTATTATTTATTACATTTTGCAAAATTGTTTATATATTTCATGATTTAAATTATAATTTTATCGTAATTTATTTTCACAAATTTTTTTATACAGAATAAATAAAACAAGATCTTTATTGTTTCCAGATAAAAGGTTCTAGACTTTTACCAATCCGTTGGATGTCACCGGAAAGTGTAATGTACGGACGATTCACATTGGAAAGTGACGTATGGAGTTTTGGCGTTGTTCTATGGGAAGTCTATTCCTTTGGCAAACAACCATATTACGGACATAATAATGAAGAAGTAAGTAAAATTATATATAATCAATTTTTAGAGAAATTTGTTATTTTAAAATAATCAAAATTACACATTATTATTATAGTTTTGCATTTAAAATGAATATTAACATTGCTATGCTAATACTATATATCCATATAATATATATTCATACAATATATTGTTAGAATAATAACAATCTCCAATTATTATTAATATAATATAATCTACAGTCAAAATTTAGGTTTATAATAATATATATATTAGTTCATCATAAATATCATCATGTCGCGCTTTTATACTATTTTACTACTTACGTAAATTACTGCACACATCAGTTTCGCAACAGAAATAAATACTTATTTATAGTTATCATCTTTTTCTCTGTATGTTACAATTTTAAATATTATAATATTAATGATAAAAAAATGAAAAAATAAATGCTACTTTACTGAAAATTATTTACTGAAAGTTATTGCACAGATCAGCTTCATAACAGGAATAGACATTTCTTTATAATTATCATCTTTTTCTTTATGTGTTACAATGATCTTAACTATTTCATATTGATAAAGAAATGAAAAGATAAATGGTTTATTAAATTATTGTGATACCTTCAGGTAGTGAAGCTAATTTTTCAAGGCATAATGCTTATACCTCCAGAAGGATGTCCACCATTTGTCTGCCAAATAATGCGAGAATGTTGGAAAACTGATCCTAAGGATAGAATTAAATTTCCGGAGATATTAGAAAAATTGGAGAAAGTTAAAGTTAAGTCAATTCAAGATACGTTACCAAGACCACCTCAAGGTCCAGTCACTATTCGTACACCAGACGTATTAGATCCTGATGGCTATTTATTACCAGCACCGGCAAAACCCCACGAATATTTGCAAACTTTACCATCTTTGTCCGATTGATATTCATAAAAATCATATATGTTAACAGAAGTTCATAAAATAATTAAAATTTCTAAATTGGGAAAAAAAAATAAGATCAAATAAATCGATAAAATTCGTTGCAATTTTCTTAAAAATTATTATTTTCGTAATTAAAGATGGAAATATTTTTAAGATAAAAAAATTATTGAAAAATACAAAATAATTTTTTTTTAATCGATATAATATTAATAAATTCATTCAAATAAAGAATGAAGGAATATAAAATGGAGGAGGATAAAATAATGCAATGATATGAAACGATATATTGCGAAAAATTTGAAAATTTTCAAAAAGATAATTTCTTATGTTATTTTTACACATACATATGTATATATTGTTATACTTTGTCTTTTTTGATTTTTGTCTTTTATAGCGTCCGGATTGAAAGACTGATATGAATCGATTTTGATAATATTTCTGTATAAATATTTTGACATAAGAAATTTAAAGATAGCCTTGTTTTAATTAATTTAAATTAATTGTATCGTTATTATTGATATTAAATAAGAAAATTGATATTAAAAGAAAAACATACAATGAAATTCAAACATTCATACAAAAAAAAATAAATGTGAATTAAAAAAAAATAATAAATTATAAACTGTTTATTGTAATCAAAATTGTAAATTCTATATATATAGATATATATATTCATTTTGTTAAAAAATTGTTAAAGATGAAAATGATAAGAACACGAAGAAAATTATCAGAGATATATGATATTATGAAATATTTTTTACCTTTTATGAAAAAATAAATTTTTTTTATATAAATTGTAACAATATCTTATGAACTTTTGAAACGAAAAAAAATATATATTTGTTCGATTATAATGATTATAATGTTCGATAAAAATTATTAATAAGTAATTATTAATATAATTCATTCAATTATTTAACAATCGATTATTATTTATCAATTATACAGTAGATAATAAATAATAATTGATTGTAATTAATTTTTTTTTGATAATTTTTATCTGTAATAATATTTAATAAAATGAATAATATATCAATATTTTCAATAGGTATAATTATGGGAATAAACTTTAATCGGTTATAATTATTGATTAATTTGTAAAAATGTAATCAATAGATATATCAATACAATTATTGTAATCGATTATTGAGATACAATGATATCAGGGAAATTATGAGAGTTCGATGTATCGAACTTTCATTGTCCAGGAAATAGTATTAATATTCTATAATATTAAGAAAATGTGAAATAATACTTTTAATAATTTATTATTAATTATGATTATAATAATTATTCATGCATTCGTATACTATGATTTCTTTTATAACCTCACTTTTTTTCAAAATGATAGTTTTGCATTGCGATAGTTTTGTATAAAATATTAGAATTGTATAAATTGATGCGTAAGAAACATTTTAAATACATTGTTGTTTTTTAGTGTACGAATCATTGTATTAAATCATAATGTTTTTATTAAATCTTATAATATGCATTTCTTAAATTTTATGTTCTATTTTATTTATTATACGAAACAGAAAAGATAAAATATATAAATAATAAATTTTATAGAGAAAAAAATAAAAACTTCAGTATTAAAACATTTAATCTTACGATTTAATATGTACTAGTATGTGTTGTTTTTTAACAATATATACATCATGATTTATATTTCAAACATTAAAATTTTTTCTTATATAAACTCAGCACTATAAAAAAATATGTAAAAAATGATAGGAATATCGTAGATCAATTATATTATATACATATTATATATATAAAACATTATACATATATAAAATACACATAAGATTCAATACAACAGCTTTCATATCCAAAAAATAATAAACATTTTAAGCTCGCGCCAAAAGGTTAAAATAATTCGATATTCTATCAATTCCGAAAGAAGAAATATTGTTGCCGTGATACGATAGTTTTTTGTTTGCAAAAGATACGCGATTAGATTCGAGAAAACAAGACTCTTATATTTAGTTTTGTTCTGTGTTCTATCAATATAACTAGAAACGTAACTTCGAAATCGAGCATGTACGACGATTGCATATTTCTTTCGTTGCGATTTCCACAAAAACTGTGGCGTATAGTGAACGAATGTAAGAGTGGCGCGATACGTTGGAGTTTAAACGGTAACACAATTCTTCTCGATTACAAGAAATTTCAAGAACAGTATCTCGACGCGGGCAATTCTATCTTCAAAACGAAAAATATTACAAGTTTTATCAGACAATTAAATCTTTATGGTTTTCGGAAAGTAACATCCCATAATAGAGATCCGATTTGTAATTCTCATAATCCGGACGTTCACGAATTCTTGCACGAAAACTTCCGTACCGGCAGACCAGATCTGTTACCAAGGGTGTACAGGAAAACAGCGGGAAAATTAAAACACTGTCAACGACTTAAAGTGAAAAATAGCGCGGAATTGAATTTTTTAAGCAAGGACTCCGATCACGTATCACGTTTGCATATGTGCCGGGTAAATAAATTAAATGTATTTAATTTTTCTTCATATATTATACATTGTATTACAAAACTTTCATATAATATTCTAGTTACATTTTAAGTTAATTTCTTAAAGATACGAATTATATAAAATTATTATATGAGACTATAGATTACTATAAGAATAAGAAATGAAAACTAAATTTAAAGAAGATAATATTTACTAAATTAATTTTATTTTAAACATATTTGTTAGAATTATTATATATATTTATATTATATTATATTAAATTTATTATGTTCATATATTTATTAAAAAAAATATGTACATTATTATCAAACAAAATTTAATTATTAATAACCTAACAAATTGCATTTAATAAAATATATATCTTAGACATTCAATTTAAAAAAAAATTATTATTAATATAATTAATAATTTTCAATCATTTTTCATTCATGCTATTTCATTTCATACTATTATATAAATTCTATGTTTTAATATATAAAACTAAAAAGATCATTATTATCAAAAAAATATATATATTTTTTTTATATACATATAAAATTTAAAATATTAAATAACAAAAAAAATAATTTAAATATTGATATTATAAATAATCAATTTTATATATTAATTATATTAATTATATTTAAAAATTTTGAAAACATACAAGATTAAATGATTTTTAAAAATATTATTTGTAGTATTTTTAAATATGTATATTGTACAAGTATAAAATATTACAAATATTTAAAATCAGCTTATTTCTAATCGATATTATTTTAATTATTAAAATTTCAAAAAAATTTGTAACTATAATTGTTTTAAATTATAATATTTTAATTATTCCATTATTGTTTTTAGTTGGCGTTAACGAAAGCCTTAGAACAAATATCGCGAGAATATCAACAAACACAAAATCATAGAATAAAAGATGAAAATACTTTAAATTCTTCTGAAAAAGGTATAATTTAATATTTAATATTAATATTTTTAATATTATAAAAATCATATTGATTAATAAAATAAAAAATTAAATTTTATTATTAAATTTTTTTAGAATTTTAATATTAAAATAAAAATAAA